GTTACCAAAATGGAATTTATCAGAACTCTTCCCAGAAGGAGTAATGAGCATAGTTAGAAAGAATTCTTTAATAAGCCTTTTGGAGCGGGGCAGCAGGGGCTGGTGCACAGATGATAATAGCACATAGAATGTGACCTTGACTTCCTCATCCCTAAAATGGGGATTATTGATACTTTTTCCCCAATTAAGTGTGATAATTGAAAAATTATAGCTTTTATTATTACTTAGTTTCAGTCTTCTATAATCTGATTTCTGCTCTCTCATATTCTATTGATTGTTTTGGCTAAGGTTGCCAACACCCCTTTGTTGAAAATTCCATTTCTCTACCACTTGGTAGCATTTCACACTTTATACCTTCCTCCATGAAATATTCTCTTCCCTGTTGCCCTATGACACAAAGTTTTCTTATCTCCTTGATCACCCTTCTAAGTCTCCATTGAGGCATCTGTAGCAGTTACTTGTTGCTGTGTAACAAATGACTCCCAAGTTTAGCAGTTTAGAACAGCCTTAATTTTCCCCCATAGTTTCTTAGTGTCAGAAATTTGGGAACAGGTGAACTGGGTTGTTCCGGCCCAGGATCTCTTATGAGCCAGCAGTCGCATTCATTTGTTCATTCTTTCATGAAGAAGATTCTCTTCCAAGCTCTTCCAAGCTCCCTTACATGCCTGCTGGCAGGAAGTCTCAGTTCTTCACCCCATGGATCTTCCATGGGGCTGCTCATGACATGACAGATCACTTCCCTCCGAGCATGTGACCCAAGGAGAATGAGTGTGTGTCGATGAAAACCTCAGTGTCTTTTATGAGCTGATCTCAGAAGTGGCATACCATCACTTCTGCCCTTGTCACACAGAACAACACATGTCAGTGAGGGAAAGGACCACACAAAGGCAGGAATATGAGCAGGAAGTCCTGGGGGCCATCCTGGAGGCTGTCTACCAAGGCATCCTTCTTTGCTGACCCTTCGAAGTCCGCGTTCCCCAGGGTTCTATCCTCACGCCTCCTGTCTTCTCATTCTCCACACACACCCTTGATGCTACTATGTTCTCCAATACCTTCAGCTACTGCCTGGATTCTAATCTAGGTCGTACCTGACATCTACAGTCTGCATCTCTACAATAGCTGCTTCTAAGAAACTTCAGAAACACCGCCTTCACATCGATCCCAGAGGCACCTGGAAGCGCACACTCTCCATACTAAACTCATCGTCAGCCCGTGATCCTGTTTCTCCTCCTGCGTTTCCATCTCGAGAATGACGACTCTGAGTTGTCAAGAGCAAAACCAGAAAATCATTCGTGACTGCCCTTTAGCTCATACCCAATCAATCAGTTACAGCTTTTTGTTTTTCCATTTTTCCCCATTTTTATTCTGAAAAATTCCAAGCATACAGGAAGGTCAAAAGAAGAATGAAATGACCTCCGATCTCCCAGATTACTTCAGTGAGATTCACGATTACTAATATTTTACGTCACATTGGCTTTCTTTCCCTCCTCTTTCCTCCATGTATGTTTTTTTCGTAATACTAAGATGCTATTTCTTATTTCACTTTACTTCTGTCTGATACAGTGTGTGCGTGTGCATAAAGCTTCTATGTGAATGTGACGCTTCATCCTTAAAGATTTCTGTGTGCATCTGCTAAGAATAAGGACATGCTCTTATATGACCACAACGCGATCATTACACCTAAGAACCAAAGCCAGTTGATTTTATCTTCCCACTATGTCCCCAATTTAGCCACTTTTCTTCAGGCCACACGTTTCCCTTATCTTCAATAGCATAATCATCACCTAACTGGTTCTTGCTCAATCCATGCTCCGCACTGCTGCCCAAGTGAGCTTCCCTAAAAATGCAAATTTGATTACATCACATCCCTACTTTGAACCTTCTAATGGCTCCACAGTACCTTCAAAACAAAGAATAAAGTTCACAAGGCATACAAAGCCTTCAGCATCTAGATTGTCTATAATAGCACTGCCTGGAAGAAATATAAAGGAGCTATCCATGTAGATTTCAATTTATAGTAGCTACATTTTAAAAAGTTAACAAAACTACAGGTGAGGTTAATTTTAAAAGTGCGTTTTATTTTACCCAGTATATTCAAAATATTATCATAGCAACACAAACCCAAAATAAATTATTAATGAGATGTCTCATGGTCTTTTCTGAAGTCCTCAAAATCTGGTGTGTAGTCAGTGTGAATGGTACATCTCAATTTAGATGCTAAATTTGCAAGAGTTAACATGAAATGTATTCGTACCAAAATAACAAGGTTATATTTAACAATAACAACAGGGAACATTATATACTGTTTTGGTTATAAGATTTAAATGAATTAAAATGAAATACAATAGAGATCTCCGTCCCTTATTCATGCAGCACTTCATGTGCTCGGTAACCACATGCAGATGGTGGCTACTGAAAAAGTGCAGTTCTAAAGCAGCAGCTCTGAAAGTGTGATCCCGGGTATCCTGGGGGGTCCCTCCAAAATTTTCAAGGCATCTCTAAGGGCAAAAATATTCTCACAATAATACTAAAATGTCATTCGCCTTTTTTCACTTTCATTCTCTCACACGTGTGCACTGCAGTATTCCAGAAGCTGTATGACATGTAATATCACAACCGACTGGACACAGAACAGAAGGGAATCAGCAGTCTCCTATGAAGTCAGATCGTGACGAGATTTGCCAAAAGGTAAAACAATGCCACTCATCTCCTTGGTTTTGCTTTGGAAAATAGCATTTTTCATTTCAATATGTGTTACTTAACAACTCATGTAATGACATGATTATTCTTTTCAAGTGAATTAATGACTATGTTTAAATTTTCTCTGTTTTAATTTCGGAAGCAGTAATTATTGATAGATAATAACTCTCAAAATCAAAAGCTATGTGAAGTCCTCCATCTCTTTTAGTGGTGTCCTAGGGCTTTGAGAAGTGCTGGTCTATAGCCTGCCTCAGTCTCCAAGCCTAGGGGCTGGTAATTCCCTCTTCTCCCTCAGATTTTTTTGCAGGAACTTCCAGTTTCAGATAAGATGGAGCAGACACACTCCCTATTCCAGCAAGGATTCCCTATTATAAATAAGCACTCAAAAGTATCTGTTGAACAAATGAAGAAATGAGTGACTACATGGAAACTCTTCAGTGGCTCTTTACTACTGAATGCAGTTAAACTCTGCGGTCTGGCTTTAAATGCTCTGCACAAACTGTGACACACACCTTTGTGGTACCGGCTTGCCTTCATACACTCTACTGCTCCGCCACAGTGGAAAGCACATTGCTTTAAAAGGACCTTTTGTTCCCCTATATCCCTATCTCTACATGTACTTACATATGCTCTTCTATCAGCCTCAAACTTACTCACCCATTTTTGCTGTCCCAGTCTTACCCACCTTTACAGCCCCCCTCAGATGCCACCTCTCCATGACCCCACCCTGGGCTCCCCAGCTGTAAGAGTCCTGCCCCACCCCCCTTGGGGACACAGCACTTCACATCGTCTTTTCTTGTGTTATTTCTCATTTCCAGGCTTGCGTTTGTTTTGTTGGTCTTAATACACTTTAGTATTCTCCCCAAGGTTAAAAATCTGTGGGCTCAAACAAATTCAATGGCCTCTGACACTGAGCCTCTAGTATGGTTCTCCTTCATACTCCGTGAATTTCAGTTTCTTTTCCTGAGATCGGAAGGTTTCTGTGAATATTAAATAAGGTATGTTATTTGAATTGTAGTATAGCATCTCAGCTGTGATACAGTAAGGGCTCAGTAAATGTTAGCTGTTATCACGATGATGAGGATGATGATTTGAAGGAGTAAATGGACAGGGCAGCCCTGTTAGCTCTACCTTTAGAACATCGCTGGAATTCTACTTCATCTCCCTGCTTCCGCTGTGATGGCCTTGCTCCCAGCCAGGCCCTGGTGATATTACAGTAGCCTGCCTGCTGTCCTTCCTTCCCCAGTCCTCTCTCTACCTGTTCTGTACTCAGCAGCCAGGGTGAGCCTTTTAAAACATAAATCAGATCACATCACTTCCCTGCTCAAAGCCCTCCAATGGTTTCCAGATCTACTAATAAAACCCAGACCCTTTACTGAGGCCTTGAAGGCCTAACACCATCTAGCCTGCTGTCTCTGTCCCCCTCACATATTGTAATGCAGCCTCAGTAGCCTTCTTGACCTCTTTGACCTATAGCTTCTTGCAGTTGCCAAGGTTTGCATCACAGAGCTTTGCGCTTGCTGAGCTTTGCTCTGCAAGGCCTGATTCCACCGCACTTCGAATGAATTGTGCTTTCAGTGCTTACCTCGATACCAACCATTACTCTCAATCTGTTTTATATTCTTCGTAGCTCTTAATACAACCTGGAAACATATGTATATATTTACTTAGAGAAATGTGTTTATTGACTTTCTCTTCCTCTAGAATTGTAAGCTGTGTGAGGATTTGTTCTCTGCTCCATCCCCAGCCACCAGTACATGGTGCGTGTTCCCTGCGACTTGCTCTGTGACTGAATGCTGGCTGTGGACTCCTCGGGTGGGGGTGTTAGGGGCACAAGCAGTACCCCATCACATAAAATTGCTAGATTTGTGCGAAGAGGAAGTGTGGGACCGATCTACCTAGAGGGCAGGGGAGGAAGATAGCCTGCTCATCCAGACTTTGTGAATACTCCTGTTTGTCCATTTTGAAGAAAATCTGTCAGAAGATATGTCCAGGTATGCCTCCCATAATGAACTCTGTAATATTCCAGAGTTACTCCTTTGGGGCTGAGTGCAGGCACAGCAGAGAGAACTGAGCCTTACAGCCTCCCTGGACCTTTGTCCCAAGGCCCAAGGACCTGCTGGGCTGGCCAGGTCTGGAGGTACACACATTGATGAAAAGCTCCAGAGGTGGGGCCCAGACCCGTCCTGACGCTGCGCTCACCAGCCTATGACATCCAGCTGCAAGAACCCTGAGGCCCCAGCCGACGAATAGGGCGATATGATGAAGGGGAGAGCTTTGCATCCAGGTCACGTGCATTCAGGTGATTTGGGTAAGCCTCATCCCCTCTCTGGGCCTCAGTTTGTCTTTAATTTCTCCTCCAGGGAGTTGAGTTGCTGTATCCTTAAAGTCCTCCCTAGCAGTGCCTTTCTATAGTGGCATGAGTTTCGTGTGTGAGATCAGCGGGACCAGGCTGGTAAAGGTGGAGAGGCAGCCGGCGAGAGAAACCGAATGGAGGACTACTGAACGGAAGCTGAGCGGTAGGTGCCCAGCATGGCCAGAAGGTGGAGCCGTTGCTGCACCAGGGAGCTCAGGCCAAAGCGGGGAAAGTTTTTCTAGAAAGTATTGAGTCCTCCAGGGCAAGCTGTCCAGCCGTCATAGAGAACCAGTCGCCACGCAGCCCGCCAGATACACACACAGCACATATGCACGCACGCACGCACGTGCCCCTTTCCCTTCGACAAACTCCATAAAAGGCTATAGGTTTCTGAGCAGCTGGAGGCGTTTCAAAGCTCCGGTTGCCTTTTCTCCTCTCACATTTTCTGGGAGTCTGTAGGCTGTACCCACTGCTTCTCCCCACCACCCCTGACTAGCTAGATCTTCATTTGGCCACTCTCATGGCAGCATGTGACTAGTGGGGGCCCAACCTGGCTTCTCTTGCTGGGTTATGGTCCTCCCTTCTCCAAATGCCCCCCCACCCCCACCCCCACCGCCACCCCCAATCAGCCATCAGTTTCTAGCGAAAGCTCTAGATCTCATCCCTTCACCTCCCTAGTCCTGGGGAAGAACCTTTGGTTAGAGCAGTTAGAGAAAAGCAAGGGGGAAATGGGGTTCGAGGGGAATGCTACAAGGAAGGTCTGGCTTTGGCCAGATAAGAATGGAGGGGTCCTTTGTTTGCCCGCAACTGCTTCTGCCACTGACACACTTGGGAATGTTTCCTGAAGCTACTCAAGAGTGTCTGGCAGCCCTCCCTCCCCCACTTCCTATGGTCTGGGGGGTGTCTGGGAACTGGGGCCGGGGGGGAGGGGCGGGGATTGCACTTACAGACGTTTTTGCAGTTGGGCTGCTTTCTTAATGCTGAGGGTGGAATCCACCTCCTCCTCAAGCAGGCAGCCGGGTCTCTAGAGCAGAAGTCCCCCTTGGCGAGGGGCTGGGGATGTGTGCTAACAGAAGGTGCGAGGGACAGGGCCCCTTCCCTTTGTTTTGCATACCGACCAAAATGTGCCTCTAACGCAAAAGGTGTCCATGCAAGGTACAGCTTTAAGTCTTCAGCACACCACCCTCCATCCTGAAGGTTTGCGGCACCCTGGTCTGCGTTTCTACTAGAACCAGCCAGCTTCCCTATGAGCCTCCCTAGTCTGCCCCTGGGTTGGGGAGCAGTTGTCAGACTTAGCTAAAGGACAGCATCCTGGTTGGCGCCTGTGTCCCCTGAGATGGTCTCACCTGCTCCCTGGCTAGCCCCCCCGCCCCACATCACTGCATAGCCCCGCCATCCTGGCGAGACTGCTCCGACATTCACACACACCTCGCTGAGACAGAGCCACAGAACAGATGGGCTTCAGTATTACTTTAATTACAATATTTACACACACCATTTTTTATTCAGAAAAAAAAATGCACCCAGTGTCCCAATCTCTGGAAAGTTTTTCCAACCGTCATTCAAACCAGGATCCCTGCTCACCCCTCTGGAAAAAACAGACAAAAATGAGGGCCTGGGTCACAAACAGAGGGGGCTTCTGGCAAGGGTCCTCTGGAGATGTCCTGGGACCTTGACCATGTGAGGGTGCAGAGCAGTGCAGGGGGCCCAGGTGGGGGAGGCAGAGACAGAAAGGAGTCTGCTGGGGGACTGAGGCCACAGCTCCACCAAGGAGTCGGGGAGAGGAAGGAGGAAGCCATGGAGACCCAAGGAGAGCCTGAGAGCAGGGAGCATCCTCAGAGGAGCTCAGGGATCTGGCCCTGTGGTCCTGTCCACTCTGACCCACAGGGAGGAACAGGAGCCCAAGAAGAGGTTCTGTGTGGTCCCCGAAAGACCAAGACTGAGCTGTCTGCTGCCACCCATTTGCCCTCACAGGTGGGAACACGTGCACCCATGCGCCCCCACCTGTCCCCCAGACAGACACAGGACACTGTTGTACAACTTGGGGCCTCGTTCCAGACTCAGCCAGAAAACCGCACGGGCCTCTGTGCACAGATGGGAGAGGAACCCGTGGGGCTCGGGAGATCTTGGGCAGCAAGAAGGAAGCTGGTGACGGAACCCACAGTGACTTGGAGGGGAGCAAGGGAGAGGGCATAAGACAACAAGCTTTTCTGGCTATGGCATTACAGAGGAGCAGGTGCTATGGGATGCTTTGGTTTTCCTAACGTAGGGAAAACAAAAATAAGGAAGAAACAGGAAACGGCAAAGCCCCCTGGGAGGAATTATAGCCCAGAAGAGCCCAAGCTTTCCTCCAGGAGCTCCCATAACGTGGCAGAGGACGGAAGAGGAAGGGACCCATGTGTGAAAGCCACAAGACCATCCTCCGTCCCCCACCCCCAGGAGCTTCTCCGCAGCTTGGCTTTAGCCCCCCATACCTTTCCTCAAAGAAGACCAGAGTCTGGGCTCAGACAGCTAAGTCAAAGGCAGGGGTTACCTGCCTCTCCCCAAGGTGGAGAGAACCCCTCAGCCTGGGGCAGTACAGGGCCCCAGGAACAGCCTCCGAGGCTGCATGCAGCGGGAAAGGACAGAACAAAAGGGTGGCACCTTCAGCGTGGAGGCGGTGTGCAGCCAGATGGAGGAAGAAGCCCCTTCCCCAAACCTTGCCCAGCCCTGCCCCACCCAGCCCAGTCACAATTCAGTATCAGCCACCACGTGTTGTCTTGCTGAATGGCCATTTCTGGAAGTGGCCTGGCCGGTCCCGTTCTCCTGAGCCCCTCGGTTCACACTGGCTTTTCCCTGAGCCTCAGGGGCAGCCCCAGGGCCTGAGTTATAGCCCTGGCCTCCACCGTTCTCCGTGTAATAAGGGTCTTCGCCCTAGACGGTGTATAAATAAAGGAGCATTATCTAGTAAGCAGGAGAGTGAGACGGTGGGGGGAGAGGAAGTGGTTGCAGCTGCGGTGAAGACTCCTTGCTTCCGGAAGAGCGGTCAGGGCTCCAGCTCCTAGAGGAGAAAGGGCAGAAGAGAGGCACTGCGCCGCGCCACCGCAGCTCAACGGCCTGTTCCTGCCAAGGACTGGGCAGGCCCCAGGGTGGGATGACGGCCTCAGAGCAACAGGCAAAGCCAAGAGTCAAACCACAGCCTGCCCTCCCTCTCATGAGCACTTCTAAAGTAGATTTTCCTTCCATGTGTCCCCTTCTTGTGAGCCAGGGGGCACCCATGGACATTTAATTACATGCAAATAAGTGTGGCTCATTTAGCAGCCTGTCTGGTTATACCCAGCTGAACTATCCTAGGAAAAGTCCTAAATAGATGAAATGAAATATCTGCTACCACAGTGAGCAGGTGGACTGGCCCTAGTGCAAGCAGCCTCCTTAACCTGCTCAGTACTGTTTTGACTCACCCACGGACATGGTAGTGTACATGCATGCCTATCCCTGTGTAAAGGCGCAGGGGTGTCCTTTCTAGTATTTCTCCTCCCCAACCATGACATTTATGGACCTCTCCAGAAGCCTGCTATCTTCATTTCCTTTGCCATGGACAACAGAACTGACCAGCCTTTCCCCTGTGGGGCTCCAACTGCGGCGGTTCATCAGAAAATAGCCGGTGGTGCCCAAGACAGCCAGCAGGATCCCTGAGGTGACCAGTGCAATCAGGGTTTTACGGGAATAGCTCTGGTGACTCCCAACATCTTGTTCAGAGAAGCCACGGATCCCCAGCTTGAAGAGAAGACACAGAAAAGAGAGCCTGTCACTCATGAAGCACAGGTTCTTGAAGACAACACAGCGCACACTAGACCCCTATGTGTGACCCAAAAGTGAAATAACACAAGACGACACTGACTTCATGGATTTTCTAAACAGGATTTAAGACTGACATTTCTTAGTTAAGCTGCACCATAAAATTTTGGTTCAAGCGTGGAAAGATGAGGACTGTCAGAGCAGGATGCAGGTGGAGGAAGGACAGGTCTAGAGCAGAGAATTACTCTCTCCCCTACTCTGGTAACCTCCTCGGACCCAGTATTTCCTCTGAGTCCCCTCATTTCAAAACACTTACCTTACTCAGCTCGGATTTGTGCTCTTTCAGAAAATGGAACTTGCTGTGAAGTTCTAGAATTAGAAACAGGGGTGGCTAAATGAGAAGCTGGAAGAGATCGTCCTGGTCTGCCCTACTATGCACTGTTCTAGAAGATGCTCGGAGGGCGAGGGCAGCTCATCTCAAGAGGGCCTCCCCTAGTCAGCCCAGCCCTTCCCTAGCACCTGTGCTCTCTGAACTACAATGCCTGATTTTTTACAAAGGATCCTCTAATCTCTGCCCTGTTCCCTCCCTAGACCCCAAAACAGATGTGCCCCTTACCTGTTACGTTGGCAAAGACCAGCAACAGGCAGCGATGCCTCACCTCAGACTGGGCAAGGAGTAAGGAGCATACCCTGGCCCCAGCCTCCGCCTGCTCCTTCCCACACAGCACTTGCATCAGTTCCTCTCCATGGTCCTTCTTAAAATTCTCCTGGGAAGCCCAAAAACATGGTGAGCAGGAGGTGAAATTGCTCATAGACCCTGAACTACATACAGGGTCTCAGGCAATCATTCCAACTAAAGTCACACTGTTACCCTCCAAACAGAAGAACGCTTTTTCCTAAAGTTCCAACTGGAAAAAGAAAAATCCTGTGAGCTGTGTATGTGCAAAAACTCAATAGAAAAAAAGCTCAAAACCTGTCCAGTACTAAAACATAAATCTATGAGTGTCTTAAAATGCCAGAGGACAAATTTAGGAAACATCATCTTCCTTAAGGATTGCCCGTGTCCTCATATACTATTCAAATTAAATTTGAAAGAAATTGTCAACACAGAAAATACTAATAGTGCAATACTAATGAAGAGAAAATCCTTTGTTTCAAGGTTACAATAGTCACAGATGTTGGAGCAAAAGCCAGGGGAAGAGGGAGGTAGGGAACAAATCCATGATTATAGACTCAGTGCAATCCTTCGTACTCCACCGGTGAGCACAGCTCCAACTGAAATGCTGTTTCTAGCTTTCCACCCCCTTTCCCACTGAAAATATGGAACCCCACTTTGCATGAGGTTCACAGATTGCTCCAGGCTGAGTGTCCATAGGATCCAGACACTCGGACCCAGAGGGCTGGCTCGGATAATTCTTCAACAGAGGAGTCCCAGAAAGCACTGGCAGTACCCCTCCGATATCCTGTTCTTACACCTCCTGGGATTTATTCCAGCAGCCTCCAATCAAACCGGCCTCCCCACACAGGAAAGGTCTAAAACCAAGACTCTCTCCTCTGTCCAGATGGCAGATGGCGGAGGAGGAAATGCCTGAGCAGCTCTGACAACTTTCCTGTGAAGGGAAAGCTGTTAGGCATGTGGGGCCCGTCGGGACTGAGCCTCCGTGGAGGAGAAAGCTTTCCTGTTTGTGGGGCAGGACTGCTCCTCGTGGCAAGGCCGGGGAGCCCTCCCAGCTGGGAAAGCAGCCGCAGTATTTTCCTACTGCTGTGGCCCAAGGCAGGGTCAAGGCTGGCTTCAGGCCCCAGCTTTCTTCTATCAGCTGGAGTTTGAGGGAGTCCAGTGCAGCCCACGAGCCAAGGTCACAGAGGGATGGATTAGGCCGCTGCGGCTTCCCCCCTCAGAGAAAGGACTGATCCTACAGGTGTCTGAGGACATCCTTGGATAGAAGCTCTGCTTCTGGAAAAATCCGGCTCTTTAAAGTAGCATTTGCTGTAGGAAGTCTGGACACCACTTTGGATATGACCAGAGGCCTCTTTCCTCTCCAGGCCCATTTCTCGTCGGATGGCCTTACATCGCTTTCGTGTGAGCACCGCCCGCTCCCTAGCACCATGCCGGGTGGGTGAGGAGGAGCGAACTCTGGGCTTCCTACGGGTTTCTTTGAAATGCGTGTCCTTCCTGACAGAGGCAGAGGGAAAGCTGCACAGTCTAAACAAGCCGTACAAAATGTCACCTGCCTCAACCCTCTGGGTGCTAAGAGGCTGCACCTCAAGGGCAGCCAGCTGTTCTCATGTTTATCGAGCCTTGAATGGAAGACACTCTGTGAAAACCCGCGTGTGCATCCTGTGTGGTGTGTGTGCGGCCGGAAGGGGTCACTACGAATTCCACATGGTCAACGTTCTCAGTTTGCGTGGCATTGAACATTACTCTGTCTCTGGCGCTGTTTTAAGGGCTTTGCACATTGATTCATTTAGGCCTCCCACCAGCTATGAGATGGAGACAATTATTCTCCTCATTTTATAGATGAAGAAACCGAAGCACAAAGACACTAAAAGGTGGCAGAGTTAGTTACACGGTAAGTACCATAAGCAAGGAGGAACTCAGGTGCTGTGGGCACTGAGTGGGGTTGCGCACACGTCCGACTTGTGGTTATCAGAAACCGCTCTGCACAGGCCTTGAAGCACGCACGGTACAGTGAAGGCAGGAGAGGCTGGTGGGAAAAGGCTTTTGGACCGCGGAGTACCACCACCAGGAAGCCCAGGCCTGCAACCTTCACAACCCTCGTCGCAAGGAGAATGAACACTGCTTTCCCCTTTGGGGTCCCCATCCTTCAAGCGCAACTCAGATCCCCCCTCCTTGGGGAAGCCAGGGCTGTCTCCCATCAGACTGGGCACCAACCCTTGCTCTGCTATTTACCACATTCTTTGCAAGTCATGCAGCCAGTCTGAGTGTCAGGTTTCTGAGCTGAAGACTGCGTTGCGGCACCTGAAGAGGTGTTGTAGGAGGAGTTACCCAACCAGGTGTTTGGAACAAATGGGCCCCGGATAAGTGGCAGCTGTTATTACCACTATTAATAACAGTAATAACCTATATACTACAGCGTGTAGAATTTTGAAGGTCAATCATATTCTGCCTTACTGTTATTGTCGTTTCTCTCCAACTAGACTGCAAGACCTCTTAGTGGGGGGAGTGGGTGTGTATTACCTAATTTTGAACCCAGACTGCACTAAGCATAGCACCAAACAGAAGGACTCACTGAGCTGTTGTTCAACTTAACATCCTAACAGGTTTGGCCTCTACACTGGGTCCCTCCACCCCTTGCTTAGTTTCTTGGACTAAATTCAAGGGAATAACAGTGGCCAGCCACCCACTCTGGAATCCAACAGCATCAGTGAATTGTGTTTGAGTCTGGAGAGGAGCAGGTGGATCCTGAACAAAGCACAATGCTTCTCCGGATGCTGGAAATAAACATCCTCCCCCAAGAGAGGCCTGGGCAGCCTGCATGGGAGAGTGGGCAGCAGGAAGCCACAGCCTCAGCACTTCACTCATGGGAATCAGATTTACAAGCCCCTCACTGCATTTGCTCACAGGTGTTCCTTTGCAAAAATAATAACCACAATAATGAAACTTCCAACCTTCTGACAGTAGCACCCTCAAACTTTGTAAAAACTCTTACCATGTTAAAGAAACACGTTAAGCATTAGTCAGCAGAGAGAAGCACAAGTATTTTTCAAAACGACCTTTAAGATATTTTCCAGGGTAGAGATTCTACCATTCATCTCTCTTCCTCCCTGTCCTTTCTCTCTCACTCTGTCAATAATTTTATCTACTTTGGTGTGAGTTTGACAATGCAGGTTGAAACCTCTATTTTCATACAGAGACTGGTGTAATTAATGGACCTGTTACAAGTCATGTAACAAGTGGGCAGCTGCCCAAGGGCGAAGAAGCTAGGCTCTTTCCAGGAGACACGCTGTCTCCCTCAGTCCTCCATCTGTAAGTTATTTTTTCTGAATGGAAACTGACCTTTGGTGTTTGGGAAAAGGGTAAGGAAGGCGTGGGCTGGAGGCATATGATCTGGACGCTGGGGGCAGCCTGCCTCAGATGAAGTCAAAGTGACAGAATAAGGGCGATGTGAGCAACCTAGTAAATACAACCCCTGCCGATAAACACATGTGGCTCTAAAGAAAGGTAGTTCTGAAAAACAAATCGGCGCCAAGACTTGAATAGAGATTTCTACAAAGAAGATATACAAATGGTCAAAAAGCACATGAAAAGTTGCTCGACTCATTAATCATTAGGAAATGCCAGTCCAAAGCACAATGAGATACCACACTATGCCCAATAGGATGGCTACAATAAGAAAAAAATAATAATAGCAGACCATAACAAGTGTTGGTGAGGTTGTGAGGTTGCAGACAGGTTGGAAGCCTTGCGTCCCGATGGTGGGAATGTAAAATGGTGCAGCTGCTATGGAAAACAGTACGGTGCTTCCTCAAAAAGTTAAAAAACAGAACTACCATATGATCCAGCGATTCCACTTCTGGATATTCCCCACCCCCAAAATGAAATCAGAGTGTTAAAGAGAGATTTGTATACCCATGTTCGTAATAGCATTATTCACAATAGCCAAACGGTTGAAGTAAACCCAAGTGACCACTAGTGGATAAATGGATAAGCAAAATGGGGTAGCAACACACAATGGAACATTATTCAGCCTGAAAAAGGAAGGGAGTTCTGACACAGGCTGTAACACAGATGAAACTTGAGGATAGTATGTGAAAGTGAAATAAGCCAGTCACAAAAAGATAAACACTGTATAATTCCACTCATGAGAGGTACCTAGAGGAATGAGATTAATAGAGATAGAAAGTAGGATGGCAGTTGCCAGGGCCTGGGAGGAGGGGGGACAGGAGTCAGTTAATGAGTGTAGACTTTCACCTGCAGAAGGAGATAAGATTGCACGACAATGTGAATGTCCTTGACAAAGTACTAAACTGTGCCAAACATGGTTAAGGTCATACATCCTATGTTTATTTTACCACCACCATAAAAAAAAAAATTCTTGGTGGATTCCCCTGGATAAATGCATATAGCATAAGAGAGTAAAGTAAGCTCCCATTTTGGAAACTATTTGGGAAACTACCACCACACCAACTTAAGACGACACTGAAGCAGAGAGAATGAAAATCAGACTTCGGGGACACATTCTTCTACTGAGGGTTCTGGGATGCTAACAGGTCCCGGGAGAAGAGTGTGGGATTGCCTTCCCTTCTCCTGCCTACGGGTAAAGGACCGGGAACATCAGGAGAGGGCTTGGGAGACCAGTGTCTGCAGAACACACATACAGACGACAGGCCTGAATGATCCACAGATCAAGAGGTAACAGGTTGGGTACTCAGTCTACACCAGTACAGATCAGTATCTGCATAACTGAGAACCAAGCACGCATTATTCCTGTCATGGGAATATGCTAGATGCAGGAGCACGGCGCCACTACATAACTACTCCAGGATGTGACGTTAGGAGAATCCAAATCCTTCCTGCTTCTCATTAGGCAGTTTCCCACAGTTAGAACCAGTGCGTAAGGCCCTCTGACACCACAAGTACAAATGCAACTGAAGGAAAATTAAGAGGCACTACATTACTCACGACTTTTGGAACAGACTGATTATCAGACAAGCATGCCGTAGGATTCAAGGAAAAGGAATCTGGGACACAATCAGGAGCTGTGGCTAAAAGTTCTGGAGTAATAATTGTTGACCAGGAAAAATTACCTTGGGAAGGAACAGGAGACACTGCTTCTTGGGGGGCTGGGGAAGAGGAGCCCTCAGGAAGAAAGGGGCATCAACAGTGGTGGAAGGACCCCGGAAGCAATACCATGGCACAGGTGTTACGTAACAGATGACTCATTGTAATGTCCAGTGGGAAGGCTTCTTCAGGATATGGCTGTTGCTGCTGTCTTTCCACATCCCCACTCCTGGCTCCTCCCCACATCTCAGAGGAGTGTGCAGACCTGCTCAACTGTGGCACAAAATGGATTGGACCACAGAGAGAAAGAGACCACAGCACAGTAAGGGGAGTGACTTCTAGAACAGCAGTAAGTTTCTAGCACTTGTCTTTTATGATGACCCTAGTTAAATGTGAACATTGAAGAGCAACGGACAGACACATAGAATGCTCTGCAATTAGCTCTAAGGTGGTGGTATAAGGAAGTAAATTTCAGGTGCACACCAGTTTGATACACAAGCAAATAAGTGCTCAACCAAGATGATACTAAAAAGAAAAGAGGGTTACATAATAGGTGTTAAATAACAGGCGACTCATTGTAATGAGGGATACAAACAAAAAAGAGGGTTAATTGTCCTTAGCTGTCATTTGCAAAGAGGTTGGCAAAAAAAGTTTTTGCATTTTTGCATCATAAAAAGAGTATTACTTGTCCATTGTATATTCATGTTTAAGTTAACTATTTTGCAAATTGCACTTAAGTATTCCATTGTGTGAATGTATGCCTTCACAATTCCTGTTGTTTTTTAAAGTGCTAGGTTAAATAATTCCCTTAGGTATAATTTTAAAAGATCTGTGAGTTACAACTCCCCACCTGAAAATCAGAGATAACATATCAGTAGTCAGAATGGACAAAATCAGTAACTTAATGCCCTCTACAATCTACAGAATTAACTTAGATCACATATACGGTTCCTTTAAGTGGATTCCCAACTTGAAAGAAAATGGTTTTTTTTTATAAGACCGTTCTTCCTGTCATCCCACCCTTTACCCAGGAAGTTGTTACTGCCAAGAAATTGCATTTACTGAAACAAAGCAAGGACTCCACTATCACCATTAAAAATGAATACGGTGTTGTACAGTCTTACCAATGCAATAAGACATGAAACTCAAACAAGGTATCACTACTATAAAGGAGAAAAACAACATATTATTGAGACAGGGGCCGTAGATGTAGTCCAAGTAGAGTAAAGGCCTCCGGAGGGGGCAGGGCAGGATGTCTGCAGTCAGAGCAATGTAACTACATGCAAGGAAACCCCCCCTACTAAAACTCTTATGTTAAACATTAAGCTCTAGAATCATTCTTCAGTGAGATCAGTTATTGTTTCCCAGATAAAGAAGAGTAGCACATGTTTTATTATGCTAATCATTTGTAATCGTGTGTAAGATTCACGTTAGCATGCTACAAGGCCCAGGCCTCTGTGCTGTCTTTCCTCCTTCAGATCTGATGAGGTGATTTTGCAAACAGAGCGACCCAGCTGTAGACCGCATAGTAAAAGGCAGGAAGAATTCCATCTTGAAGATAAGATTGCATTTTAACACCCAGGAAGTTCAAGAGGCAGGATTCTTCAGCAAGTAGACAATACCTTAGCCCACCTTGGGGGCTGGGCAGGCAGCCTTTTGATGTGCTCCCGGACCAAGACGCCAGTGTCCCAGAGAGAAATCAAGGCAGGAAATTCTTTATGTTAATTTTTAATATTCAGGGACCACTTAACAAGTCCACACCGCTAAACTCTTTTTCACATTCTCGAAAAATCCTCAACTGTCTATAAAACCGCCTAGACAACGCACCACTAAGGACTCTCTTGTCCCCTCCTGGCGTGAGCCAGGCTCCGTCCTCTCACTTTCTCTCTAAATAAAAGCCTGCACCTCGCTCTCCTACCTTGGCTGTTTGTGAAGCTCATTCTTTGGCTTCCTGAACAAGAACCCCGGCATCATTATGATAGAGAACATGATAGATTATTTTAAAAGCAAAAACAACGAAACCTATAAAGACCTCTTAGAATTACTAAGGAGGTTAAAGAAAATGGATAAACCCAAAATAATATTCAAAACTCAAGCTAACTTTCTGATATTACCAGCAATATTCAATTGGAATATATAATGGAAAATCTATAATATAAATACTCTTAAGAAATCCATAAAACCAAAAGGAAAAGAACTAGTTTTTAATTTTTAGAAACTAAAAAAAAAAAAAACTTAACACTAAAAAACTAGAAAAAGTAGAGGCATTTTACAGCAGTTCTAATGAAAATTTAAATGAGGTTTTTTTGGCTGGGAGGGTTTAATCTCAAGATGTTCCTAAAGTTTTTCTAAAAGAGTAGATGAAAAAAATACTTTACAGTTTTTATAGTGTAATGAGCAAAGACCTGCCTGAATGGATATTAAAAGTATTATAATGTAAAAGTATAGTAATTTTTAAAAATTTAAAACAGGCAAAAAAGACAAATTGAACAAATAAAATATCTGAAGAATATGCTCTGGGACATATAGAACATCACATAAGCTAAGAGAAGCATTCCAATCAACAGAGGGAATCATTCAATAAACAATGTTAGGAAAAAGGGTTCTATGGAAAATACAGCAGTATAGCAAACAAAAATCTACATGGATTAAAGAGCTATATGTACATAATAATAAACGAATTGATATTTTAGGTGACTAATTTATGTTTCACAAAGGACTTTCTTAACATGAAAGCAAACGGATCTCTGACAATTTATATATTAAAGTGTACTACAGAGGGGAGAAAAAGTAAATTGAAATAAAATTGTCTTTGCCTTCTTTGTCCACCAGATGGGGCCTCTTACTCCCTAAACCCAACACTCAGCATTGGAAGTAGCTGATCCAGCTACTGTACCTCAACCCCCACCAGAGTCCCCTCCAGGCCACCAGAGCCTAAGAAAGCTCCTGGGGGACTGTGGGAGGGGAGTAGGGGAAGGAACGGGTGAGGGTCGAGGTGCCAGGGGGAGGGGGGTGTAGTTTGACTTACACAGCTGGAGGTCTCATTTAGCTCCAGGCAGATACCTTGGGACAATTTCACTTCTTTGACTGGGAAACATTTGATTTCTCCCTGTATTAGAACAGAAAGTAAATAAACCAGTGTCTTTGCCCCTCATTTTTATCCCCATCTCTTGTCCAGCTTGACTTCTGCGAGGTATTCTCTGAAGAGGTTTTGGAGAAGAGGAAATTTAAAATTTTGTTTGGGGTCTAGAGATCTGTAATAGTCACTCTTCCTGTATCTTCACACCTCCCGCCACCCCCCACTAACTCTCCCCCACCCGCCCCACATTTCCACCCAATACTCAAAACTTTTGTTACTAGCCTGGGCTTGCAGGCAAGTAGCTATTTGCAATCTCTGTAAACATTGGCTGGGATGGTGCAGAAATGAGAGGGGAGGATCTTTTCTCACAGGGGCTGTTTTCCCTCTAGTGAGTTGGGCACTTGCAGTAAGGCCACACAGCCAAACAGATAACGGGGTAGCCAGGCAGATCTTGGGGACACTCACTTCCTCCTGGCTCCGAGGACTTTAAAAACAGAAAACAGGCAGGTACCCCAGGTTCCATGCCTTCATATTTTCTAACTTTCCTGCAGAAAGCTGTTGACAGCCACAGGCGCCGAGGCTGAGAAGGGCAGGTTGAGCTCACCATCCCCGGTCCACCAGCTCCTAACTGCCTCTCTGTGCCTGGCACAACCACCCAACCCTCTCACATAGAGGAAATGTTTTGACCTAAATATTTGGAGAAAGGAGCCCCATTAAGTGGAGGATGGTCTGCAAATATGCCCAAAGGGAAATGGTACCTGGTCAAAGCCCAGACCAAGAGGTACTAAAAAGAACCACAGAGGATTGGATAGACTCCTGAGAATCCCCTTTACTCTCTACACCGTAGAAACGCAATACCTATGGCACAGATCAGCCCTGCCACCCGACTCTGCCCTCCTTCCCCTTTTGGTCCTTTCCAGCAATATTTAAGCTCCATATTTTCCATGCTAGTGCCTACAAACCCAAATCCCACTTGTTGGGATGAGGGCAGGTTGTGGGGAAGAGAGGTTGTACACACATGAAGTAAAGGAACAATCTGCCATTTTTGGCCCAATTCACCCACCTTGATGGTCCTTGGGGTAGAAGACAATGATGTATAGGTTTCAGTGGGAGTTATCACAGAGCTGGTGATATTGTATGGGGGACTGGAAACATTTCCAGGTGACAGGCTGGGCTTCAAGGTTGTCTCTGTAATCGAAAAGTTGACTAGGGTAGAAGATACTGTGGTGGCTAAAGAGGTCTGAGATTGCACAGAAGAGTTCATAGTTGTGGGAACTGGGGTGATCACAGAGGTAGACGTGAGGTTGACTGTAGGCTCTGGAATAGACCAAAATACAAGTGTGCATGTGAGCACATTTGCATAAACACACACACACACACATTTCACTCACTGTCTTGAATTAAGACCTTTTAGATAATCACATAGGCACGGACTGGAACCCAGAAAGGGGAGCTTGAGGGATATAGAGCTGCAGCATGTCACCCTTACCAAATTCATTTCATTTCAAGCCAGCTGTTGGAACCACAGCTGTAATCTAGGATGTGTAAGTGGCGTCTTCAGCATTCTGAGACTGAACTGGGTGCTGGTCCAACCTAGAGAAGTCACAGATCCCCAGTGTGAACCTGTACATGCCTTCCTTTACTTAGAAGAGAGCAGAGGTCCCTAGGGTGTCCTCATCTGATCCTTGTTCTATCACTAAGCTGAATTCAGCAGGACAGCAGGGTCCCAGGAGCATTCCTGATCAGAATTAGCCACCAAGGCACTGGCCTCAGAAAGCTGTCACTACAGGAAGAATTATCTAGACCTTATACTTCAAGGTTCCCCAAACATGATGCCCAAGCCATTATTAGAAAGGGCTTGAATATTCCTATCTGCCTGGGAAACAGAGAGCAGGGCAGGAGGGGAGGCATCGTAATGCTTTACCCAGGTACCAGCAGCATCCCTCTGGGGCTTGAGGCCAATACTCTACCTGAGATGGCTGCTGTAGTCACATTGCTGTCCTGAAAGACAGGGTGGGAGGTGGTATTTCCAAGAATATTTGGTGGTGTCGTTTCCTCGTTGGATACAGTTGTAGCCACAGTTGAAATTATTGCTGTGGGAGATGATTTTGTGGCAGCAGAAGTTGAGTTTTCCAAACCTGTGAACCCAGAGGCTATAGGGAGATAAGGAAGAAAGGTCAGAAACTAAATCATCCTGGAACCTCATGATACCACCTGATTCAATTTCTTGACTTCAGGTAGAATCCATCTAGAACGTCACTGCCACCATTTGTAAGGGAGTGGCCTCAAAAACATCCTCCTGGACAGGCAACTGATTTCCCACTACTAGATTTTTCCTGAGGAAACGGGAAATGCTTGTATGTACCAAGTGTCTGGTGTAATATTATTTCTAGGAAGGCAAAGCTGCAAGCAACTAAATGAATTACAATATGTTAAATGTTATAGGCACTTAACATACCATGATCATTTCAAATACAAAATTATGAAAAAAAAAACTGTAGCACCATGAGAACACGAGGCAATGCTCATAACATGTTAAACAAAATATTCAAATATCAAATTGTTCTTGAATAAATACTGCAAGGATCTAAAATGTTGGGGAGGATGTGCCTTCATTTCCTTTTTAATGTGCCCTCTCTTTGTGTTATTCTCCATCCAGCATATTACCTCTTGGAATGATTACTAGATTCATACCATCTCTATGCAATCCCCTTAAAAATCCATCCTCCCCAGACTTCCCCATTCCCAAACTCCCTTCATTTTTTCCTTCATGGCCTTCAAACCTGTCCTTTCCTTGCCCAGAAGAGCCGCAGCAAGCAACTCCAAGATCTCTTTCTGGAAGCTCTGACCTGGGAATGCGGCTGATGGACGAGACAGCATAAGGCCTGGTTTCTCATCTTACATTGTGGGAAGATCAGAGAGTTCAGTTCTGGCTCAGCCAATAGCTCTGTAATTTCATGTGTGTGTGTACCTCAGTTTACCAGTCTCTAAAGTGAAGGTCTTTCCCTACATGGATTGTTGGGAGAATCAATTGTTAAATTGTTATAATAGTGTTCCTTGTTCTCATTGTTTGCTGAACATCTTCCTCTGGGTCCTTGCCCTTCCAGGTTTCCTGGGGTCCTTGCCCTTCCGGGTTTCCTGGGGTCCTTGCCCTTCCGGGTTTCCTGGGGTCCTTGCCCTTCCATGTTTCCTGGGGTCCTTGCCCTTCCGGGTTTCCTGGGGTCCTTGCCCTTCCGGGTTTCCTGGGGTCCTTGCCCTTCCGGGTTTCCTGGGGTCCTTGCCCTTCCAGGTTTCCTGGGTAGCCAGCAGTGCCATCCCTAGACCCAGGCAGGAGAAGCTCCCTGACCTGTGCTTTACTATCTACACTCTGTCCCTCTTCTTGCTCTGCCCTTCCCCAAACCATGAAGAGTCCATGGGACCATCAGAGAGGTACCCTCTCTTCTAGATCATACGCTGGGACCAGAACTCCTAGGACTTCTTGCTCAAATGGCTCTTTGCCCACTTGAGGCCCTGCATGGGCCTTTCTTCCAGTCTATCCTTCGGAAGGTGAACTAAAAAGCCAGCGTCTGCACCTCCAAGGCCCAAGGGTGGCCAAGGGGTGGCTTTTTCTAGGGAGAAGGGTTAGCTATTAAGTGTGTGAGTGGGGTGTCCCTTGCATGCATGCAAGTTTCCCTATAATGCAAGCTAGAGTCCTGGGTAAGAGAGCAGAGGAGTGGGCTGGGGCCATGGGCCATCTCTTCCTGCTCAGCTACACTGGGGCACTCAATCCAAGACTGGGAGAGTCCCATATTCAAACATGGCCTTCCAAGGACGCATGGAGGTATGTTTTTCAAGATAAGAAGATAGAAAATATTTTATTTATCAGTTGGTTGGTGTGATGTATAACTTTGAAGTATTTAGACATGGAGTATGTGAGCCTCCACTGTACTCCTGGCTTGGGCCCTACGAAGGTTAGGGGTGGACTTGGTATTCAGATCTCACGCTCTGCAGTACTGTCCTTAAGGAAAGGCTCCTGAGGGTCCCAGGCCCACCCTAAAGCTTGTCTCTAAGTTTTCCCGATTAGATCCGGGCCTGTGTTTTTCAGAAGTTTCCAGGTAAATAGCATTGTAGAATGACACCTCTTCTTTCCCTTAGCATCAAGAGGGAAGTTAGGCTTGAGTTTCAGGGCAATTAACCTGGAGCCATGAATGCTTCCCCCAAAGGTGGCAACTAGTCTCACTCTCTCACATCTGCCTCCCTCCCCAACCTGCTGCCAATAAATTGTTATTAGCGGTGAGCACAGAAATCGTATGGTATCTTATGTGTCAGGTGAACACGAAGAAGTGTTACCACTATCTTCAACTGAGAGGTTAAAACCTGAATCACCAAGGTCTTGGCCAGGAGTGAAGGCCATGGTTCATACGGGGAGAGAAGCAGGGGGGCCACTAAGGTTTAGCTGACTCTCAAGTAGCAGCAGCTGTGGGTTGGGGAGGGTCTACACTGTGAGAACTGGAATGTGTCCCCCACCCCTGTGGATAGAAAAGGATGGGTCCTGTCTGGCTTAGGTCGGTGGGGATAGGGGGGCAGTTATCAAAATAGAATAGTTAGGGAAACAGGTCCAGCCTTCTCCTCCCTTAAATAGGACCCACTCAGCAATCTGACTATAAGGTATGACTTCATTGTAGGGGCAGGTAGGGGGCGACATTTAACATCTGGACACCGACCTGAAGGACACCCTCTCAAGACACCATTCCAGTGAGCCCTTGGAATGCCCCCCTGATACCACTCTCCCTGCTCACGCTTTTCTCTCCCCCCTCCCATTACATTAGTAACTGGGAATCCCATCTGGCCCAGCCCGTTCTCCCTCCAAAGGAAGCTGGGCCTGGCTGAGGTGATGTCATGCTTTTGAACCCCTCCACCAGGGCCTCCTTCACCCAGACAAACAGATCTGAACTTTTCCAGATGTGAAGAGAGACCTGCTGCTAGTTCTGAGGACAGAAGTGCCTGTGCCAGATGAGTGAAGCAACCCTGAAGCAAGGCCAGCCTCCATTCCCCGGGGGTCGGGCTCCTGGCTGCAGCCACCTCCCCCCACCCGCCACTTGGCCAAGCCCTGAGCACCAGGTAGCAGGGTCCCTGCGCAAAGCCAACAGACCCCCGACCTCCAATTCATGTCCCCGAGCCTAGGGTGACCGGGAAAGCCTCCGAGACCCTGGAGAAACAGGACAAAGAGGGAGAGCAGAAAGGCAAGGCTAAGTGCAGGGCTTAGGGACAACTTGGTATAAATCGAGGGGACACCTTGGCAGGGCTCAACATGCTGCAGCGTAGGAACCGACAGTGAGGGCGCCTCTTGGGTTCACCGTCCCTAGGGCTCCCTTTACAGAGCCCCCACGGAGACTGGATCTTGGAGGAATGACATTTACAAGAATCAAGACGGACCACAGGTTTCGCTGTTATCCTACCTCCCCCAGTCCCCTAAAACACACACCCATGGCATTAAACCATCACATGCTCGCCTTTGTTTATATGAGTTTCTTAACCCCAGGGGAGTAGTACTAGCCTATGGGTCAGATTCTAAGAGAGTCCATGGAACCTTCGCTCCATTCCATCCCAGACTGGTGGAATAGCCCTTCCCCCCAACCCAACGGAACATGAGAGTACAATTCAAAACGGAGCGGAAGGCTAGCTTCTACTGTTCACATCTCTTCCCACCTTCCTGAACTGTGTCTCCCTAAGGGCACTGTTGGACCCTAGGTATCCTATTTGATCTCAGCTCATGAACCTGCAGCAAGGGGAGGAGACAGGGTGTCAGGAAGTTAGCAAAATGAAGATTCTAAAATGCCAAATAGAATGTCACATGATTCATACAGTAAAAGTCAGGGTCCTTATTCAGAGGCAATTACTCATGTTTTGCACACAATTCTAAAAAGCTTGGTTAACTGAAAGCTCAGCTAAAGCTAAACATTAAAAAGAGGCTATTAGAAGCAAACAATTAGAAGCAGCAACGGCTGAAATGAAGAAACGGAAATAAATGAAAAACATACATGACTATCAAAACCCACACTAGTCTGGAATCATTTATGGTAGGAGTAAATAAATATATACACTTTAATAAGCATGAGCATATCACTGAGTTGCACCCTAATCAAATTATTTTCATGAAACATCTGAATCATTTTTTTTTTTTGGTAGTCTAAGGAAGGAGAGGGGTGTGTGATACATTGTTAAGAGATTTCTAGCTACACTTAGTAAGTTGAAGCATCTTTTAGTCTTTAACGAGGGTGTACCAATCCTCCGATCCCATTTTTTTGGTGATGATGTTGCCTGATCCCCTAACCAGCCCCATTCTGCTCATCTGTTGGAATATTCTAGCACCTGGCCCAAGAGGGGTTTCTTGGAGGAGTGTTTTGGGTGTCTCAACCCATAGAGAAAGAACCCTAGGAAGAAGAAGAAATACACTGGCCTCTGCTGGGAGCCCACAGCCTGTTTGATGAGAAAACAGCATTGCCCGGGAACAAAGAACTCGGGTGTTAAAATTAGACCATGTTCAAAGGCTCCTCTACATTTTCTACCTGTGTGGTCTTGGGAAGCTTCTGTTAACTCCCTGAACCTCACCTGTAAAATGCAGATAAAAATAGTCCCCCTCTCTTAGTTGTTTTGAGGAATACTGGAGATAAGAGGTGAAAGCACTTAGTCTGGTAAACACTCATGAAATGGTGGTTATCTTCAGGACAGGCCCTTTTCCTTCTGCTTCTCAGAGACCTTACGCCATGTATCTCCATCACTTATCTGGCACAAAATCATATATGCTGTCTCCTTGTAATCTCAGTTGTAATCTCAGTTACATGATACATTTGAGTGCCAGAACCACCTCTTATACTTGGGTTTTACTCAGGGTGCTTAGCACGATCCTGAGCTTGGAATAAGCACTTAGACTGAATGGAGACTGTCAGTCAGGTTCACACCAACCACCTGTAGGTAGAGGGGTCTTATTCAGTGCTGTATTTTAAGAGGAAATTTATTAAATTAGGGAGTATCCATGGGAGGGTAATTATAATTGAGTTTCAGAAACCAAGTCATATGCTTGAGGGCCTAGTGTTATTTCATCTAGATCGGGGGTTGGCAAACCATAGTTGCTAGACCAAATCTTGCCCGTGGGCTGTCTGTTGCATGGCCAGTGAGCTAAGAAAGGCTTTTGTGTTGCAACTGTTGTAACACAGAAAGGAGCAGAATATGCATCAGAGATCCATATGGCCTCCACAGTCTGATATATTTACTCCCTGGCCTTTTACAGCAAACGTCTGCTGACCTCTGATCCAGAAAAGTAGAATTTGAGGTGGGAGAATGAATGTTTCAAGATTCACTTCACTGATTTATTCACACTTATTTTTCATAAGCACCAGTGATGTGCCAAGTGCTGTGGAAGCACAAAAGGAGAGAAAAGTCTTTCCCATGGCTTGATCATGTCATTAGAATTTAAATAAGACTCTGACCTCAAGGAGCTTATAGTTTAATGGGGCCAACTAGAAAGATCATTAAGGATTGTCATGAAAAAGACTTCATGATTAGAAATTATAGGAAAGCTACTCTCACTCCAATACAAGAAAAGCTTAAAATGACTATTTTTTAACAAAATGGAAATGAACTACTCTGGGAGACAGTGAGCCCCACATCTTTCCTGGGAGCATTCGGGAGGCACCTTTGTCTCAGTGAGTCTGGGCCATGTTGGACTAGGACAGACATCAGGGTGGATGCCTGCCTTTGGTGTGAACATAAACCAAATGTGTGTGGCCTGAGTCTTCCAAGTGTACTGAGATTTCCCTTTAATTGTCAAATAGCATGTCCTGAACCCCATCCACGTACTGTGGAACCCCAATCCCTGAGCGTTCTTGGGGGCCTTTGTCTCAGTCACCTCTTCTCCCATTTTCCTCATAGCCGCTGACACCTGTTTCTCAGCTCTGTGCCCCCCTGGCCTCAGGCTGCAGCGGGCTAGCCAAGCACCATGGACCGAGGCCAGTGTGTGCTTCCTGAAGGGGTGAGATACAGCCCTTGAGAAGGTGGTGTTTTTATTCTTTTTCCACACCTTCACATTTTCAGCTCTGCACACTCAGGGCCATTTAGTTAGGCCCAAGAAAGTCAATGAGAGGGAGGCCTGAGCACCCTAGGGTGCATCTGGATAACCATCAGCCTTGAAGGACAGCCCAAGCCCTGCTGGCCCAGGGTGCACCGGAATCAGGCAGTGAGACTGTAGGACATGGAATCTGTTGCCCCTTTGGATTTGTTTTGGTAAGACTCTGAGCCTGGGTTTATCTGCTGTGACTCGGCCCTCCTTGCCCTGAGCTTCCGGAGACAGACTCAGGGAAGGAAGGAGATGAGGACCAGTGAGCAGGAAGCCCAGGAGGTGGAGCCAAAGGGATAAGAAAGATGCCCGGGCGCTTTATCAGCCACACAGGGATGCTGCTGAAGACTGACTTTTGCAGAGGTTGTGCCAGCTGGACTGACCCTGCAAGGGAGGGCCCTGGGGACCACGGAATTAGTCACAGGTCCTAAAGGCTGCCCCTCGTTGGTCGCCATGTGGCAGAGGTTCAAAGGGTGGAGTCCTCTCTCCTCCGGAAAATATCTGATAAAATTCTTTTCCTTTTTCTTTTTTCCCCCTCTTACATGTAGCCCCAGACAGGATATGGGTGTGGGGTCATCAGGCACGAAGGACCCAAAGGAAGAAGAGGAATGTGAAGGGGCGGGAATGAGGGGTGTCACTAGGGAGAGAGGAAGGACATGCCGCAGAGGGCTTGCAGGGAAGTGATACCCTGAGCCCCACAAATGAGATTCCCTCATGACGCATTCCCTGCTACGGCAATGCTACCTGCTGGCCTCTCAGCCCCCGCCCCGACTCTGGTCACCACCGAGAGTCACCCCATCTCCAACAAAGAGCCTGCTTTCGGTTGGCTGCTGTACCCATCCCCCTGTCAACTTCTCACAGGGGCAGAGACCTCCCCAGAACAAAGTTTTCTCGGGGTTAATAATGAGAAAGCCACAGAACCCTTTCCGCCCTAAATTTCACAGTGGTAAGAGCACACGCGACTTTCTTCAATGTCCGTTTGTTAGCATTTCAAGGTGCAGTCACTCATTTCCCCACAATGTACCCCAGGACAGAAAATACCTCCTACTAGTACAAAAAATAAATAAACCACACAGACCCCACAAAGCTTCTGAGGCAGGTATAAAGCTGCAAATTGGCCCAAGGAATCTGGCAAGATTAAGAATAGAGACCTATTCCCCAGTCCTCACCCCCAGAGCAGAGACTGAAATTCTCAGTATATCTGCTCAAGGTTAAGTTGCTCCCCCACCCCCAGGGCTGCAGGCCAAGGCGAGACTGAGACCAGCCAGCTGAGGAAATAAGAAAAGGGTGGGCCTCATTCAGCCCAGGACCAGGTCATCACTAGCTGTGCAGCCAAAGGAGACTGGAGCATCCGAGAGGAATCAGAGCACTTGACCCACGCACCCCCATTAGGAGGGTGCAGTCTAGCACCCAGAGGACTTACCCATTCTAGGCCTTTCACACCCGTGGCAGCTTTTTCCCTGCCCCAAAGGGCATGCATGTCTGGGGCTTCCAAACAGGTCAACCCAGAGGTGAAGTTTAGAGTTTCTTTCAGCCCAGTGTCTCTCTCCAACTGGGCAAACCCAAAGGGGGACAGCAGAGGAGACTGACAGCCAGGAGGCCTAGCTGACTGGCTCAGGTCACTCTGTGGGGCCATAGTGGGTGGCCTTTGGGACACAGTAAGAATAGGGAATTGGGAGCCCTGGAAGGCTGGCATCAGAATATGGAGCAAAGGGGAAAACAACTTAGTATGTTTAAAATCTTCCAAGGGCAATGAGATGGGATGGAGAACATTTGCCCCCAATACAAGCAATTAGGAATACATGCTTGCTGAGTTCTTTTTTTTTTAAAGTAAGAGCAAGGGCTTAGTAATCGCGGCATGTGCAGCTGGCTGGAGGATCTAGCCTGTCCACTAGCCTGCTGATCTGCCCACTAGTCTTAAAACAAAAGGGTGCAGGGGAAGAAAACCCCAAATGTAACAGGTTTGTTCCCTGGTACGGGGTTCTTGTGGGGAGAGGGAGGCAGGGCGCGGCACACACTCCATCTACCACCACCTTCCGCAAGGTGGGTGGGTGTGGGTGTTGGAAGAGGGAGTTGTAACTGAACTTTCCGATCTTAAATGAAAGGCTTTTTTTTTTTTTTTTTTT